TGTGTGTGTGTGTGTGTGTGTGTGTGTGTGTGTGTGTGTGTGTGAGAGAGAGAGAGAGAGAGAGAGAGAGAGAGAGAGAGAGAGAGAGAGAGACTAATATAGAGAATATGGGAGCATCTTATTCTCCACAGGAGGCAAAAAAAAAGAATATACCAGTATGTACATATGTTCTATTAAACAACAAAAATCTTCAGATGTTATATTTTAGGTCAATAAATTATTACAATTTACAGATTCAGCAGTTGGCTGCTTAAGCTTAAGGCAATTCCAATAAAGTTGTCAGGACAAGTATACAGAATAAAGATCTCTAAAGATGACATTTAGGAAAGCACACCTCTAATGCAACATAAGGATAGATCTAATTTGGACATTTTAGAGAGTAGCTCTCTGTGTGTTCAGGAAGAAGGTATGGTAGAGGGCTGAGATTCAGCTATAACAACCAGGAGGTTTACAAAATACAACAACAGGCAAATACGAGAAATAAGTGTGAATCAATTACTGCTGAATTTCATTGCTTTTCATATCTGTTTCAATTTCCTCAACATCTATCATATTATTTAAATTGTTTTAGAGAGCATATTTTAACATTTTATTCATGGAAATTTGAAATTTGTACCTTAAAACAATTCAAATTCTTCACATTCCAAGAAAAGAGTTACTCTTCAGGTACTCTTTTCTATAGTACACTTTTGCAGTGGATCTCCTGGAAGGAAAATAGCACATGTAGATCTCATTTGGAAAACCTAAAATCATCTCATATTTTTGCATCTTTAGTGCTGTGAGAAAACTCAAATTTTCTTTGCTAAACTGTGATCAGTTTTCATTGTGAGTATACAAATAAAAGACAAAAATAAAAATATTTTACCTTTTTGCAACCTTTAATGTGGATTCACTTGAGACCTTGTATAATCCAAACATTTCTAACAGACCTTTTAAAGTCACTTGGCTACTCCCTGGGATTCCCAAAGGCAAACCTTTCTGAGTAGCCTTATTAAGAATCCTTGTCTTAAAACAATTAGAGTTGGAATAATTGGTGCTTCATACAGAACACATTACCTAGTTCCCAGAAAATACACTGGGATAGATCATGAAGAACATGTTCATAGTTTCCCCATATTTAAATTAATTATGTATCTCTTTAGTTACATAGTGCATAGAGTTGGAGAAGGCATTATAGTTTTAAACAAATGTTATAAAATACAAAAATTATGAGTTATAATTAAAAACTCCTGCCATACCACCTGCATCAAATTCTTTTCTTGATGCTTTTGTCAAAATATATTAGGATAAAAGATAACATGAGAAAAAAAAGGACTGATTCTAGTTCATGGTTTTCAAATACAAGCACATCATGCACAGATAGCGCAATATAGGTTCATGAAAGAGCTGGTGGCAGCAGACCTACAGTGAGAAGGCAGAAAATGACAAACTATACCACTCTAATGATATTCTTCCCAGCTTCTTTTTTCTTCCCAAGACTTTAACATAGAAAATAGAGCCACCGTACTGTGTTTAACTCAGATGATTCAAGTTTGCTTTGCAACCTTCAGACACACTCTGAACAGGAATTTCTTTTTTGCATTCACTTATTTATCTTATTTTTTTATTATCATCTAACTATATCAAGCAGTTAAGAGCAGTAGCAACAGCCTATGCTATTTCAGTGGCCCCAGGGACCTTACATCTGAACAACCCATAGAAAAAGGTATCCTACATCTAGCACTGGACTCAATCCCTCTGGTTCTGTGGGCCAAAATAAATTCTTTCAACTCTTGTTGAATTTGGGCATATTATTGTATCTAAGAAACAGAAAAATAATTAATACACACTGAATTGTAAGATGGCATAGAAGAACATTTAGGAGAAAGGCAAATAAAGCATTGGGAAGAAATCATTTAAAAAAAGAAAGAAAAAATAGAGCCACCAACACCCAGAGTACATCTTCCCACCAAGCTTAAGCCACACTGGAAATCTTCATCCTCAGAGACACTTGATCTCTAAATTTAAATTTTAAATCTCATCAAATTGACAATGAATATTATCCATCTCAACATTATCCCATGTCAACTTGATGTTCAAAGGCATCACTTTAAAGCATAACACTACACATTGGTTATTAAAGTATTATGTATATGAATAAGAAATGTATAATGTTTTTCAAAGCCAGACATACTACAACTTTGAGTTTCAGTTGACAATTAGATCATGTACAGATCATGAACTTAAAAACAGTTATTTTATTTTAAATTATGTCATTGTATGAGTTTGACTTAGTAAGTACACATGAGTGAGGATGACATCAAAAGCCATAACAGATTATTTGGGCTGCACAGCCTAATATGAGCAATGGAAACAAAATCTGCCTCCTCAACAGGATGAGTATCAACTATTAACAATGGAGTACATTACTCCAAGACTCTGGACCATAGACATTTTAATAATGTTATAAGCATTAAGACTTTAGGTATTTTAGAGTTTTGTTAAATTAATTTAGCCTCAGGAAATGAACATGAAACTTTCAGAAGTTTGGTATAAAGTTATGCTTAAAAGTGATGCATTTTGGCAGCAAGTAGTCAAGACATAGAGTTGAGATGGCCAATGTTTCTTGTAAATTTGATTATATTTAATATAAACTAAGAAAAACAATTTGAGTATGTCTCTAAGAACATTTTCAGAGAGTATTGACCTTACTAGGAAGATGTAACCTGGATGTGGGTGACTATTTTCTGGATTTGTATCCTGGGAAGAAAAAGAGAAGTTGGCCAGAATACCATTAGAGTGATATAGGTAGTCATTTTCTGCTTTTGATTGTAGATACACTGTGACCATTATTTTGTGATCCTGCAACTAAGCTTTCACTGTCATTTGGACCGCAAAGCATGAGCTAAAATCAGTCTTTCCTTTCTCATGTTGACTTTTATCCAATATATTTTGGGACAACCATGAGAAAGTAATTAACACAGGATGTATGACTGAAGTGTCTATTCAAAGTTCCTAAATTTTGTATTTTGGAACATTTGTTTAA